ACCCAACAATATCTCAGACAGGTACCCAAACCTAGGGTTTATAGGGTTTAGGGTTTCGGGTTTCGGGTTTCGGGTCGAATTCGATTTGGGGGTATATTCCCTCTTTGGGCTTCAATCATTCCTCTTCTGAAACCTACGTGCGCGCGCGTGCTTCCTTGCTACTGCGGTTTCCTTACAACTGTGGGTGTTCTTGGTGAAGACTTGGCCAGGTTGAGGCCGGCAAGCCTTTGACAGGATACCAAGAGGACTCCGAGAATTCTCACCCTTCCAGCCCCTTGAAGAAAGGCTCGCAGATGGGCATGTCCCCAAATGCGGGAACACCCAAGACAGTATGATAGTCTTTGGCCTTAGGAACTCCCCACGAAAGGGTGCCCCTGAAGACACCTGTTTTGGGCAACAATCAAGTTTTTAGCAGCGTGGCGTCATTGCAATGCACTCGGCGGCCACTGCCTGCTGGGAATTGCTAGGAGAGTCAGCTGGCCGAATTCTGCAGATCCCATACACACATCCTGGATTCTGAACAACCATCTGCAAGAAATCTTCTACTGGTCTACTACGACACGCCCCACGCCACACAAGCCCTTTTCCGACCTTCAGGTCCACAACCTTCTGACGTGCCTGGCCAGTCTCCTTGGGTGCGTTTGTTCCCCAATTTTCAGCCCTGCCAACGGCTGATGTTCTGGGTACGTACACCTTTTCTCTTGTCCCCCCAGACTAAGCCCCCACCTAAACCCTGAACCCTAAAACCCTATAACCCTAAAGCCCTAAGACCCCCAAACCCCAAACCCTAAACGCTCACCCCCTCAAACAACTCTTAGGGGGGCCCTAGACCCAAGAATAACCTAGGAATGAAGAGGGTGCCCTTTTTTTGGTTTAAAGAGGCTTACTTGGTAGCCAAGTAACCCTATTGCAAAAAGGGCGCCCTTTTTGGGTTGGTTACTTTATAAGGGAACCCAGAACCCAAAAAAAAGTAAAGGGTACCACTGGGCTACCAAGCCTAAAAGGGAACCTAAACCCCTAAACCCTAAACCCCAAACCCCAAACCCTAAACCCTAAACCCTGAACCCTAAACCCTAAACCCTAAACCCTAAACCCCAAACCCCAAACCCTAAACCCTGAACCCTAAACCCTACACCCTACTCTGGGTCCTAGGTCCCTAGTAGTGCTGCCATGCCCTCCGCCATGCCCAGCGCATCGCGGTCCACGCCCCACTTGAAGCCGATCCTGTGGAGGATCGTAGGATTTAAAGTGATTTCGGGTTCAGGGTTTAGGGTTTAGGGTTTCGGGTTTAGGGTTTAGGGTTTAGGGTTTGGGGTTTAGGGTTTAGCGTTTAGGGTTTAGGGTTTAGGGTTAGGGTGGGAGTTTTGGGCTGCGGATTTTGGGGGATTCGGGCTGAGAATTTTGGGGGTTTAGGTTGAGGGTTTGTGGGCTTGGGGGTTTGGGTTTTTGGATTTTGGGCTTAGGAGTTGGGGTGTCGGATGGGTTAATGGCTCCCTGACCTGAACAACCCTAAACCCTAAACCCTAAACTCTAACCCTAAACCCTAAACCTTAAACCCTCAATACTAAGACTACCACATTGGCCCTATCTGCAAGGGGGGCAGGGGATGAGGGGCCCTGCCCCCCCGATCTGAAGCCCGACCGCCCGATCCGAAACCCCAAAAGCCTGCAAACCCTAAACCCGAAACCCTAAACACTGACTGACCCTAAACCCTAAACCCCAAACCCTAAACCCCAAGCCCGAAACCCTAAACCCTAAATCCTAAGCCCGAAACCCTAAGCCCTAAACCCTAAGCCCGAAACCCTAAACCCTAAACCCTCCCTAAACAGCCGTCGAGGCACATGGCGTCGAAGCAGCTCTTTCGTCTGTGGCGTTAGATCCCACTGGAACCTCTATAAACCCATCAGCGTGCCTCGGCTTGAGCCCAGAAGCCGGCGGAAGGCAATCCGAAGGTTTAGGGTTCAGGGTTCCGGGTTTAGGGTTTACGGTTCCCCACCTGCCCTAAAACCCTGACATAAAAGAGATGAGAGGTTGAGAGGGCTTCGGCTCTTCAGGCTTTTGGGTTTCGGGCTGGACACAACCCGACAAGCCCCACAACACGCAGGCTTTCACGGCATCCTTTTCTGTTGAGGCTTGTAGCTAAATACTCTAGAAAATCAGAACGAATTCTCATAAACTCTAAACCCTAAACACTAAACCCTAAACCCTAAGCCCTAAACCCTAAACTCCGAACTTCGGGACTTCGACCCGGAGCATCCGGACACTTCTCAATTCGGGCCGAGGTGTTTAGAGTTTAGGGTTTAGGGTTTAGGGTTTAGGGTTTAGGGTTTAGGGATTAGGGCCCCAAGAAAAGGAACCCAGAATGGCCAGAGAGCGCTTGAAACCCTTAAGCCTTTTTAGGGCTTGTAGGGTTTAGGGTTTAGGGTCTAGGGATTATGGGAAACCTTCCCAGGAGGAAACCCACACGTGATTTAACCTTCAAGTGCGTGCATACGGTTGGTCCATTATGGACGTGAAACGCAGGATGAAACGAGGGAAGGGTACAGAGCCGCCTGCTGTGAAACCTACGAACGCTGTCACTTCTAGGGTCACCTTCGGGATGGAGAGCTCCGCATATCACCCCCAATCCTAGACCGCCAGGTGTAGCTCCTTAAGGTATCTGTGCCGACTCTTCCCTGTATGTTCTCCGAATATAGAAAGCCACAAACCGAAGTATGGCTGGGCTAGGAGGACCGGCTGAGCTTATTTGTAGAAGGCGGCAAAGAGACGCTGAAGAGGTGCTTTTGCAACTCTGGGTTGTAAACGTGCACGCGGCAGCTGACATGATAGCCGCACCAGTTAGTCCAGCCTTATGTGAGTCGTGGCCCTAGCATTAACAAGGCCCAATACTTGAGGTCTGCACTTCCCTCAAAGGGGTCTTAAGGCCCTGGGCGGGGGGGGGGGGCTTGCGGTCAGGTTTCACGGGTGCGGGCTTCAAGCTTTCGGGGTGTAGGTTTAGGGCTTGTAGGGCTTAGGCATTAGGGATTTAAGGGATCTAGGTTGTCACGGGCGCCGTGTGTCCTGTCAGCTACCAGTTGCCGCGCCCGCTCGAAGCAGGAACCGAAGCCGCGAAGTGGCATTGAACAGTCTAGTACCCCAGAAGCCCAGGAACCCTGAATTCGTCGCAACGGCCCCTGTATTCTAGGTTGGTATACCTGGAGGCTTCTAAGTCAAGTAGGGTTCTAACCCTGCAAGTATTTCCCATGAACCTTCAAGTAGGGTTTAGGATTTCTCCCAACCCAGAAGCCCTAAACCCAAAACAAAACCCGGGACCGCAAAGTAGGTATCACGGTATCACAGTCTGTCAGAGGGTACATCCCACCCTTAAACCTCTTCATTCCTTAAACGCGAAAACTCGAAGCCATGCACCCTATACACCCTACATCCGAAAACCCGAAAAAGCCGAACCCTTAAACTCCTTAAAGCCCGAAGGCCGAAAACTCCAAGCCATTCCCCCTAAACCCCCCTAAATCCTCAGGCCGGAAAACTCTACGCCATACCCCCTAAACCCCCTAACTCCTGGAACCTGAAAACTCTGCGCCATACCTCCTAAACACCCCTAGCCCTAGTAGATCCTAAAACCCGCAATCTCGAAGCCATGGATTCTGCAACCCTAAACCCTAAACCCTAAACCCTAAGCCCTAAGCCCTAAACCCTAAACCCTAAACCCTAAACCCTAAACCCTAAACCCTAAACCCTAAGCCCTAAACGGGCTGTCGCTTCCCGCCTCGAGCGAGAGGCCCACTGAGGGGGCGCCTCAGGCCTGGTCAGCTGGCGGGTTCTTAGGAGGGAAATCAGGTACCTTACATAATCCTTTCTAGGGTGTATATATATATATAAATCCCTTAAAGGGTATATATATATATACATATAGTCTCTGAAAGGGTGTATGTATAGAGAGAGAGAGAAAGAGAGAAAGAGAGAGAGAGAGCCCTAGCTGGCTGGGTATGAGGTAGGTACCTCATATAATCCCTTAAATTCAGTAAAGGGTATGTACAGCACCCTATACTTCCCTCATTCCCTACTAAGGGCCAGAGGCAATTTTGTTCTGTTTGGGGGGAGGGGGAGGGGGCGGGGTTGGGGTTTAGGGTTTAGGGTTTTGAGTTTTCATAGGGTTTAAAGTGTTGAGTGTCTTTTCTTGTTTGGGGAGGAGGGAGGTGGGAGGAGTTTAGGTTGGGGTTAAAGGGCTCAGGGGTCGATTTTTTTTTTTGCGGGGGGGGGGGGGGGTAGGTTATTTCGGGGGGTTTCGGGGTTTAGAGTTCAAGGTCTTGGGGCCTCAGTCGGGTGGAGCTTCTAGTTGTTTCTTACGTGCGCGGTCCACGGTGGATTATGCTGTTTTGGGTGGAGGGGCGGGTTAAGGCTCTCAGGTTTGGGGTTGCGGGTTGACGCAAACCCCTAAACGCCAAACTCTTTGCAAGGGGTGTGGAAGGACGTCGGTAGATGCTTGGAGGTTTGAAGCGAGATATGAGAGCGGATTACTTAAGGGGTGGGGGGGTGGGGGGTGGGGAGCATCGCAGTTTTTAGGGCTTGGGTTGACGCTGCAAGCTGCACGCCCTCGAACGCCGTTATTGCCCTGAGCAGATGGACAAGGTCAAGCTGGCAATATGCGATTGGCATAAGCCAGGATTTCAGATCATAAAGAACTCTAAAGTTGGAGAGAGAGCGAGAGAGAACAAAACCAGAGAGAAAGAAGAAACAAATGAGAGAGGGATAGAGAGAGAGAGAGAGAAACGGAGAGCATGCATTATTGGGAAGTCGGGCACTTCCGATTGTCTGGTGGCTCGAACGCTCAATTCCAGCAGCCTCCTCAACTGCATTCGCCTGCCATGCGAAGTGCTCAAAGTTCACAGGGAACATGCTGGTACCCACAAACTCGCCTGAGACGTTGAAGGTGTGAGTCAGGCCCTGTGAGGCTTGCGAATCCTGACGCGAGCTGCATTGCCTCCTTCCGCGCCTCGACCTCAGACAGTCGCACAGCTCTCCCGGCAAAGGGGGCAGGCAAAGGTGCATCGCTTCAGCGCATGCCAGACGGCATGACAGTGTTGATGGAAGGCATGTCCGCACGGTAGCAGCGTCACCTCATCCTGGCCAGCGAAGTCCTCCAGACAGAAGACACAGGTCTCCGAAAGGCATGGACGATACAAGAGGTCGACCTCCTCCAGAACCCTGATGATGACTTCTGAAGCTCCTGCGTCATCTACGCATGTCCAGACACGAACGCGATGGAACCTGGGCGGTGTCGTTTCCATGGAGTCGAACACTGCAGGTGCCCAAACATGCTCCTGTAGGTCCTGCGCATTGACCTCCTCCACATATCGGCTTCTGACCTGGATGGCTGTACGGGAGATGAAGACCAGAGCCGTCAGAAACATGACAACGATCAGGACAATGAGGGGAAGCGACCTGGAAGCAGGCGCAGCAAAGGGCTTCTGTGGCATGTTGAAACTTCACCGGGGGAAGGTACACTCTCGTTGAATCAAGGGGAACTGCGAGGTTGCTACAAGAACGCCTTCGCTGCTTAGTGCACAACACAGGAAGCTGAACAAAACAAAAGCTTCTTTTGGAGCGTGTGCGCTTGAAAGGGTAGAGCATGTAGACCACGCCGGCAGCGAGAAAGGTCGTGCAAGAGCAGAGGCAGCAGGCTTCCATCAACGTCGGCGCCTCACCCAATCGGATGACGATCCGGTTCACTGCCATGGCTGTGAGAAACGACTTGAGCCCTTTGCGCCCTCAGCCATAGGCTTCGGGTTTAGGGTCTATAGGGTCTCAAGGCAAGCACTGCGTTTTGCTGTTTTGTCCATGGGGGCTGGTCTTCGGGAAGCAACATCCAGCTGCAAAGCTCGGCCGAAAATCCGAGCCCCGACCCCCCCCCCCCACCCCCAAGTGCCTCAACTCCAAAGCAACAGCGAAATTCTGCACCGTAAGGCCCTTAAACCCCTAAGCCCCTAAACCCTGAACACCCCAAAACGCAAAACCCCTAAATAACCCAGAACAGAAAACCCCCCTAAATAACCCAAAACCTTAAACCCCGCTAAATAGCCCAAAACCCAAAACACGTGAATAACCCAAAACACATGAATAACCCAAAACCCTAAACCCCACTTTAGCCCAAAATCCTACACCCCTAAACGACGAAAAATCTTAAACCCCAAAACTTAATTACCCAAAAGCCCTAAACGCCCTACCCTGAACCCCCAAAATAACCCAGAAGCCCTAAACCCCATAAATAACCCAAAGGCCCTAAACCCCAACATAACCCGAAAGCCCTAAACCCGCCCCCTAAAACAGCAAAAGCGCTCAAAACCTTAAACCCCCCAAAGTACCCAACAGCCCTAAACCCCTAAATAACCCAAAGCCCTCAAGCCCCCCCCAAAAAAAGGCCCTAAACCCGAAGTACCAGGCCCTTGCCTCGGACCCTGTCAGCCGGGGAAGTTGAGTAGACTCTCCTCCGCTGGATCCGCGTTCCTGCACCGACTTGCGAGTTCGAGCCGTGCTCCTTCCTTTGGGGGTTTAGGGTTTCGGGTTGAGGGTTTAGGGTTCAGGGTTTAGGGTTTCGGGGGTTCAGGGTTTAGGGTTTCGGGGGTAGGGTTTAGGGCTTTGGGTTCGGGATTTCGGGTTTGGGGTTCAGGGTTTCGGAGTTGCAGAACACCGAGCCAAGCCCTCCACAACGAAGTACAGGTGCCCTCTTGAGTTTGCGGTTTCGGATTTGGAGAGATCGGGATGCGTTCGAAAGTGTAAAGCTCCTTGCTTCACTCTCACCCCGTGTGTGTGTGTCATAAAGGTCCCTTCGGTGGATGGGTGAATGGGCGGTGGCTAAGCCTCTAAACTCTAAGATGCTAGGCTGACACTGGGAACGAAATTCTGGGTCTGGATCCGGCACGGCCGGAGAAGCCTAAACCACAAGCCTTAAACCCAAAACCTGAAAGCCCTAAATATCCCCAATCTTTGCAACGTCCAATAACACGATGCTCCCAAACCCTAGAAGCCGAAAAACAAAAGACCCTAAACTTCCCCAAGCCTTATAACTAAGCCCCAAAACCTTAAACCCAAAACCCAAAACCATAAACCCTACACCCTAAGCGCCCTAAACCCGAAATCAAAACTCACCTCATCTAGGCCGGCCTTTCGCGTCGTGGCCTGCGACGGCCGGCCGGTGAGGTGCCATCTGTGCAGAGCTTCGGGATTAGGGTTTAAAGGGTTTGAAGGGTTTGAAGGGTTTAAAGGGTTTAAAGGGTTTAAAGGGTTTAAAGGGTTTAAAGGGTTTAAAAGGTTTAAAGTAGGGCTTCAAGGGTTTAAAGGATTTAAAGAGTTTAAAGGGTTTAGGGTGTAGGGTGCAGGGGTTAACCAAGGAAGCAGGAGTGGACCCAGTCCCGGAAAACAACTGGTGGTATCACCTTCAAAACGGTAGCTATACCCTGCTTTGTCGTATCTTCATGGGCGCAAGTGTCTCCCCATATCGTACTAATTCCGGCACCTGGCTCCGAGCTGCAGAATAGTGCTACATGTATCCTCCAAGTATTCTGCAAGGTCTACTGCGTATAGAGGTTACTCCCGGCAGGCTTGATTGAAGTGTTGGGGGAATAGGGTTCATTACTCCAAACCTAAACCCACATCCCTAAACCCTCCAACCCCATACCCCCTCAGAGCACCCACGAGTCTGAGTTCGGGGTGCCTTCTCAAGCCGAGAACCCTCTTCCTAGCGGGATTTGTGGTCTCCTAAACCCCTAAACCCCGAACGTTTTGGTTTAGGCTTTGAGGCTTGAGCCCGGAAAACCCTCACCCCCGCCCCCGCCCCCCCCGCCCTCCCCCACCGAACATCACAACCCTTGAGCCTAAGAGGCCTTGCAAGGTGCGAAGAGGGGCTCAACCCCAACCCAGATTTCCACATGGGGCCTGAGGCTCTCTATGTGAGAGCTTGCAAAGGGCTTGGGTTATCTTGTCAGAACCTCAAACCCTGAATTTGTTTCTCAACTATTTGGCACCCTGAGCCATTCTAACTTCTTCGCACCCTAAACCCTCTAAGCCCTCAAAGCCTCAACCCCAAGACCCTAAAACATCTAACCCTAAACCCTGAACCCTGAACCCAAAACCCTAAACCCTAACAAACCCTAAACCCGAGGCGTCACTTCTTCCGAGCCTGTCGGGGCTGCCGTGGAGTTTGCCGGCGATTGCACGGACGAGCCAGACATCGAGAACTGTCCAGTCAGTGTGAGGTCCCAAAAAACCCTCAACCCTCAACCCGAAACGTAAAAGGGCTTCGGGTTTAGGGCCAAGGGTATTGGGTATTGGGTCTCGCAGAGTGTGTTGTTAGCCACAGCACACTGACATGATTCGGCAAATGATGCGGTGTACACTGAAAAGAGAGGATGCAAGCGCCAGGACTGCGGAGATGTGGCTGGGAGCCCCACAGCTCAAACACTGCCCTAAACCCTAAACCCTTGCACACATCCGGGGGGGAGGGGACCCAGATTGGAGAACAACCCTCCCATGCGTTTGTCCGAAGGTGCTCCCTTTGTATCTCGTGCTTCATGTCACTTAATGGGAGCTGCTGGGGCATCCATATAGTTCAGGAAGAGGGTATTTGGCACACTAATATTCTCCAATATGGGACTATGTAGGGAACCTATACTTTCCTAAAAAAAGAAGAAGCCGTCGAGAGACTTCGCTCAGCTTTGCAAATTGTGTGTCTGCCGTGCACAGACACCTGCTTCTTTGCCACATCTTCATCCCATTCGTGTGATCCATCTGGTTCTTGGCTTGCTGCCGTGCGAGGACTCTGATGTGATTCGGACGATCTGTAGGGTTGAGGCATCCAAAGCTTAGGGGGCTTTAGGCAACCTCTCCGCGACGTACACTATGAACTCCTGCACCCCCACCCTATAAGTCTTCAAGGAATTGGGGCTGAGGGCTTACAGGGGTTACAGGGCTTGGGGCTGAGGGCTTGGGGCTTGAGGCTCAAGCCCTCAACCCTCAACCCGCAAGCCACGGATTCCAGGGCCTCGTCCCAGTCAGCGGAGTACCCCACTTCGGAGGTCGAGCCGCCTTCCAGGTCAGACAGGGAGCTGGGCATTGGAGTGTCACTGGACAGACTGGACAGGACCATGGTCCAGGGCGTCGCTGGATTTTCAGGGTTTGGCCGCTAAATTTTGTATAGCCTACACCAAATTCCTACTAGGACTTGGATTTAGGGCCACTTATAAGGTGTTAGGGTTACAGGGCTTCAGTGGCATCGCTTTAGTGAGGTCTGATAGGTGTTCGGGCAAAAGGTGGGCGGCAATTGGGCAGATCGCGAGCTTCCGAGCTCCGAATGCAATGCGCTTCTACTTGGAGGTCATGGGTACTTGCAAGTAGCGCAGTACAGGGTATATGACCCCAATTTTCGGGTTTACTTGGTCCCCAAGGTTAGTCTCGTAGCGGCCAGGGAAGCCTCTGTTCAGCGACATGAAGTTGTCGTTCCGGGTGTTGGACCTCCACCCAAGGAGAAAGGCTTCAGTGCATGTTGTGGTTCAGAATCCTGAAAAAAACCGAAGCTGAATAAACCTCCTCAACAGAACTACACACGTATAAGCCCTAAACCCGAAACCCTAACCAACATTGCGCGATCTGACAGCCTATTCCACCCTCAGCGGCACGGAGGTCTCTCAATCTTCAACCTTGGGAGCCACTGGCTCGAACCAACCTCGTCGTTCCGTCGTTCTTGCGGGTTAGGGCTTAGGCTAAGGGTTCGGGCTACATCTAGGGTCCCAAGTATGGGCGCCCTCAATTTGGGTCCTTTGTGATAACCCTTAGACACACTCTACATAGTAAGGGCCCATACTTCGGATCCCTATAAACAAGGGTAAGGGACCATACGAAGGGCCAATAGTTCCAACCTTAGACTATAATTATTATGTCTGGGGGCAGATTTCCTGACGTTTGGTAGACAGGGTTGAAGGGGTTGGAGGGAAGGGTGGGGGGGGGGGGGAGGGGCTAGTATGACGGGCCCCTGATTTTTGCTGGGAGTTCCCAAACCACAACAAGGAAGATGGGTTCACTGTGCCCATATTCCCTTTTCCAGGCTCATTTGGGGACCTTGCACCCTTCCCTGGCTCCTTATGACCAAATCCCCAACCCACGTTTAGGTTTAGGGTTACCCCCCTAAACACTAAACCCAAACCCCAAAACACTTCAGAAAGGCTGGACTGGGGCTCTGGCGATGATGTGTCATTTTCCAGGGACTGTTGCGATGGGATGCTGGCCAAGCCTGTTGTTCGAGGTCTTTCGCGTTTAGGGCTCACTGCCTCACAAAGTGAATGAGGGTTTAGGGTTTAAGGTTTAGGGTTTAGGGTCGAGGTTTTAGGGTTTAGGAATTAGGGCTTAGGGTTTAGGGTCTCGGGCTTAAGGTTTAGAGTCTAGGTTTAGGGATAAGCTCACGCTCAGCCTCGTTAAAAAAGAAGAAGCAGCATAGCAAGCCTCCCGGGCGGGGCTGCGGCGGCAGAGTTGCCTGGTGCGCACAGGATCATGACTTGCCGCCTTAGGGCGTTCAAGTTCGAGGGCCCCAGGGTTAAACCCTAAACCCAAGACTCTAAACCCCAAACCCATGCAGGACCTGAACCTCGCCCCTTGAACAGTTGGAACTGCATGGATGTGACCCTCCGTGGCCACTTCCCCTGGCAGCCCCCGAAGGGGGGCCCGGCAAGGGTGTAGGGTTTAGGGTT